ATTAGTGGCTGTTTGTCACCCGAGATCAGGAAAAGGCAGCTCAAGGGTCCCAGGGTACTGATTCTCCCGAGACTGTGTGTTCTCCATCTGTGGGAGGTAAATACAATTTGAGGCTCACAGAGCCTGCCCCAGCTCGCTACCTGAGTCATAGCCTTCGACCTGCTGGGGCTGGCGCCCCTCCCTTGGTGCCTGCACCCCTCCCTTGGTGCCTGCTGCTTCTGTTGGCAGTAAGAAGCCTGTGCCCACACACCGCACTGTCTTTCTTTCTCTTCCCCCCTCCTTCTCTCTCACTTCCTTGTTGGGCGCTGGTTTGCCCTCCGTTCCCTTTCTTCCACTGATATCCTACTTTGGGGCAGTGAGGGCAGAGGCTGGTGTCCAGCCCTATCACCACTCATCCGTGTTCCCTGCTTTTCTTCTGCACTGTGGCCAGAATTCAGTGTGGCAGGGTTCTCTCTGAGCCTGAGTATTACTCCTGCGGTACTTACGTTTAGTTCCAGTTTTCATCACCAAAGTTACCAAGTTCCACATAGATTTGGAGTTACTCAGATGCAAGAGAGCTAAGGTTTTGTGTAATTGTTTAAAGAAATTTTATTAACAGATCACAGCAGCCAGGCATGCTCTTCAGATTGTTTTCTTTTCCAACTTCCCTAATACTGGGCCCAGTGGATCAGATTTAATTTGGCAAGAGTGTGTGGTGACATGTCCCTCTGCAGACACTGTTTACAATTGCAGCTACAACAAATTCATTGGGTGAAAAATTACGTATTTTCCAGTGAGGTAGTAAAGGAAATGACTTGAGTACTTCACTATGTATCACGAGCAGATTCTCAGTAGGAGCAGTTATGGGCATATTTGTTAATTTTCATAAAACTGGAGTATTTTATTAATAATATTATTAAAAGACTTTCCCTTTATTTTCTTCTCCTTTGTTACTTTTTCTTGTATTTGTGGGTCAGCATATTTTTTTACCACTATTTATCTCCAACTTTGTAAGTGTTGATGCTACAAGTGGGGTTCCTTGAATGTTGGTTTGCTTTACAGCAAACATTGATGAGCAGTGGTAATATAAACCAGTAAGAGAAGGAGGTAAAGTAAGGTATAAAATAACATCAGCTTCCCATTTTCCTATGAGACAATCATGGTAATTGTAACACAGTGATAATTCTTTGTACTTGATGTTCTTGATGAAAAACATCAGTTTTTCATTAATCAGCAGTTTACATTTTGATTTCTAAAGGCAAATGAGTTTATCTTAATGGGTAAAGGAATGAATGGGAACTTTGAACAGCTTCTTATTGGGGAGCATCGGTGCACATCTTAACTGCTGCTCTGGGCTTGCCCTCGATTCTCGTAGCACATATTTAAACACATTTAAACTCTGCGTATTCAAACAGTTCAAGTCGGAAGTGTTATGTCTTGCTTTGATTTAAAATATTTCTATGATTGTTCTTGAATGTTTTCCCTTTATGCACAGCAAATCTTTCCTCTTTAAAAGACCTGGTGAAAAAAAAAGATCTGGTGGGATGTTTGTAAAAGAAACCACACTCTGAACTGTACTCGCAGGGAAGAAGACCTCATATTTAGTGAGATAAAACAAAAACCTATTTCCCTTTAAAATAAACAAACACTCATGCATGTACTTAAAATTCTCATTTTGTAGGCCAGTGTGTTTTCACTGAGAAGTGTTTTGGTGATGGGACACTGGCATCACCTCTGCCTGTGTGGCAGGGTCCCCTATGCCAGATGTCACTGTGAACAAGACAGACATGGTTTCTGCTCTTTCAGAGCTTGATCCTCATGGGAAGAAGTAGAAACAATTCTAGGTAAATGACTTTCAGAAGAGGCTTTCAGAAACAAGGCGGTGTGAATCATTAGCAAACAATTTAAGTGATGTATCATTTTCTAATTTGCATTTTTAAAAACTTGCTGCTGATGAAAAGAGATTAGAAAAGAGGTTAGACTAGATATGTCTGTGGAGATGGAGGTAAGTGGGGAGGATTTAGAGAACTGAGAAGATAAAATGGGAATCTTGGTAATGGGCCGAGAAAGGGGAGGCCTGATGACCAGTGACCTCCCGGTTAGCAAGGGCCAGAAGGGATGCTCTTCCCCAGGTATTGAGGAGGGGAGGAGCACTGCTGAGGAAGGGGTCAGGGTTTCAGCTCTGGACCAGGCACACCTGCGACCCCTGAAGAGTCACAAAGGAAGAGATGCAGAGGAGGTGCTTTTGGAAAGAGCTCAAGGCTGGGTTATAACCGTGAGAGTCATGAGCACACAGGTGTTTCTGAGGCCATGCACTGAGGACACCCAGGGTGAGAGTAGACTAAAGGGGAAACTTGGTCAGGACAGCCTGAGCTGCACCAGCTCTGCTGAGAGAGGGCTGTAGAGGATATGGAACTGACAGGTGAGCCTGAGCAGGAGTAGCTAGCACCGGTTAATTTGCAAGAAAGAAAAAAAAAAATCATATAATCGTAGGCCTCACATCCCTAGCCAGCAGCCGCCAGCCACAACCCCTGTTGGCTCAAAAAAAAGCATTTCTAACGCTGGAAAATAAATCCACTGCTTGTGTGCATTCCTAGTAGATGGAGAGCACCCTCCATCCCTAGAGTGATCCAGAGGTAACGTGAACGTGTGGCCTGGTGCTATGTCTGAACGGGCTTGGAGCTCTGCTCACCCAGATCTGGAAACCTCGGAGATCAGCTTTCCTGTTCCGGTTCAGACTTGTTACAATAAACGGGTTGGTTTTGCCCAGCTGGCAAAGATTTGCCTTCCTGCCCTCTTTTGCAGGAAGTTAAAGTGCTGTGCCGTAGAGTTCTTGTTTCTGTTTTTGTTTGAAATTAAACAGGACATTGAGATTTAATAAGAAAAGCAGCTGACGTGGTGCAGATTTGAAATCCGGCCTTAGAGCCATGGTCCTGAGGAGGCTGTTGAGCGCCTCTGTCCCTGGTGTCACAGTTTCCCAGCGCAGTGGGTCAATCTGAGAAGCACCCCTGAACCCTGGCTGGGCCATGTTCTGAAGGTTAACAACAGAAAAACCTTTCAACCTTACCTAAAATACATTGTAGAAATCCTAGTTATTTGCTGTGATCTGGAAGTGACTGGGTACCCTTCCTGTGCAAATCCGGTTTATCTGTTGAAGTTTGTATCAGGTGTTCTAAGAGGAAGATCGTCTTTGGTCTTTATATAGTTACGTTAACCACACAAGTACCTTTCTTTTGACACAAATTCTTTGGTATGAATTAAAATCACATCAAGTTATTGTAGAAATGAGAATAGAAATAGACGACTACTGAATATTTTCAAACGTTAGGGACCTTCATAGAGTGGGCTACTTTTCACACAATTTCACTTTTCCTTCTCAAAATATATTTCAGTTCTTCTTCTGCAGTTTCATTTCATGTTTTAGAACTTTAAATATTGGCATTTGTGAGCATTTCTAGTTCAATCAAGACATTCTTTCATGTACGAATGACAACGTTGTGAGTAACTTTCTGGTTGTCAGGAACCCTTTCTGTCAGTGCTCTACATACTTCCCAAGACCCACACTCCACATGTAATGCAACCTTGCCTAACTTTTCCATCTGAATGACAGCTCCACACTGAGGTGTTGAGGAGTCGAGGAGTCATTCTCACATGTTCTCCTAGGCCATACTTTGAAGCAGCTACCTTTCTGCTTCCTAATGATGCTTGCTGTCCAAACTAGAAGTAATTCTGTATTACTGATGTCCAGACTCACTCCTGTCTCTATATTTTAGGCTTTTTATCTTTCATTACCAAATAATTACTTTCCAAGACCCAGCCTAACCTGGGCATCGTGGTGCATGCCTGTCACCTCAGCACTTGGGAGGCTGAGGCAGGAGGATCATTGAGAGTTTGAGACCAGCTTGCGATACAAACTGAGCTCAAGGCCAACCTGAACTGCATAGTGAGACCCTGTCTCAAAAAGGCAAAACAAGATCCAGCCTAAACTAATTCTCTGGTAGAGTAGACACTCTAAGAAATGTGATTCTTAAGCCCTAAAAGAACAAGGGTAAAGTGCAGCTGTAGAGGAGGAGCATTGAGATGGTAACCTGCCTGGAGCAGGGGAAACTGTGGTGGGGAATAAACCTTTCTGAGCATTTTCACTGACTGACTATAGTCTAGAAGCATTACATATAGTGTCCCATCAGTATTTAATATATACAAATATTATTATGTGTATTTCAAGCATCAGTCAGAATAAAAGTTACAATCATTCCAAAGTAAAGTCTGAGGACCACCATTTCAAAGTGTGTTTTTCAGGTAGCATGTTTCATTAGCTATTGAAATGTGGTTATTTCCACAAAGTATAAACAATTAAAAGAGGACGGTGAGCCAATTCATCAGACCTAGCAAATGGCAATGAAGTCCCCAACGAATATTTCCTTCCAAAACTTGACTTTTAAGAGTTAAAATTCAAGGCAGTTAGGACGCCATTGGCCAGTGTTTTAGGCAATTTGATCTTTTGCAACTGGATTGTGAAACAAGGATCTCCTTTTGATTTGTTTTTATGAATTTGTCATCTTAATATCATGACTTTACCATTTATCTTTTTCATTTAAATGAATTTCTTGAAATTGCTATGGGTTGCTGTTGTCCAAGGGACAGGTATAAACATGGTTTTGTGTTTTTAATGAATTTTACAAAGTTAAATTAGTTAAAAATTTCATTAAATCTTATCACCTCATGAGGCGTGCTATTTTTGTTCACAAGAAAGTTACCAACTTTAGTTTCCAAAGAAAGTATTGGTTACATAGCAGAAGGTATAAAATATTTGAGTTACTCATCAACATGTTAATTCCCACAAATAAGAACATAGTTTCAGAAATACTGAAAAACTTGTAAATATTTTTTTCTGAACAGAGACATCAGGAGACAGGAGGCAAACTGCAAACAGTGGGGAAATGAGAAAACAGTCCCTAATATTTGGTTTTTAGTGTGATTCTCTCAATACTGATCTTTTATGATTTCTCTTTGCCCATCAGTGGCCACAGATGTCTTCAATTCCAAAAACCTGGCCGTGCAGGCACAGAAGAAGATCCTGGGCAAAATGGCGTCCAAATCCATCGCCACCACCTTGATTGATGACACAAGCAGTGAGGTGCTGGATGAGCTCTACAGAGTGACCAAGGAGTATACCCAGAACAAAAAGGAGGCGGAGAGGGTCATCAAACACCTCATCAAGACAGTCATCAAGCTGGCCATTCTGTACAGAAACAGCCAGTTTAACCAGGAGGAGCTTGCACTGATGGAGAAGTTCAAGAAGAAGGTTCACCAACTTGCCATGACCGTGGTCAGTTTCCACCAGGTGGAGTACACCTTCGACCGGAATGTGTTGTCCAAGCTGCTAAATGAATGCAGAGAGATGCTCCACCAGATCATCCAGCGGCACCTCACCGCCAAGTCACATGGACGGGTCAATAACGTCTTTGATCATTTTTCAGATTGTGAATTTTTGGCTGCTCTGTATAATCCCTTTGGAAATTTTAAACCTCACTTACAAAAACTTTGTGATGGCATCAACAAAATGTTGGATGAAGAGAACATATGAGCCAGTGAATTAAGACCGTGACTGTGATTTGTTTGAAGATGGGACACTGCTAATTCATGAAGGAATAAAGAGTTCTAAAGATCACACATATTTCAGGATTGCCCAATTTAACTGTCAGGCATTAATAGTAGTGCTTTTTATGAGGCTTGTTTGATTTGAAGAAAAACATTGCCAAAAGTTCTGGATAGTAGTTTCTTAATACGTACCAGATCATGGGAAAATATGAATGCAAATGTAGAGTTACACAAAGAAGAGTGAGGGTGGCTTCAAACTCTGACTTTTTTTAAAGCGCAATTGTTGTGTTGGTGGCTAATATGTACAAGGCTACACATTCTTTTTTGTTCCTTACTAGCTATATGTACCTTTTTTCCAAAGCCAGTAGCTTTTTCTTGCTATTATTGCTTGTTTTGAAACAGTTCTATATTCAAGTTTACCCTTGATTATTTTGTTAAATGCTGTGTCATTGACATTTAAGAATTACATCTGAGGCAGTCACACTGAACCTCAGAAAACTGTGTATTCTGAAATCAAAACTGTGGAAATAAATAATACTAGACATTATGAACATGTCCAATATAATAATGAGTGTTACTTTGCATTACCAACAGTGATGCTTAAATTCTCAAACTGTAACAGTGTCTCATTGCCTTGCAATGCTTGCCTTAGGGCTTGCTTTGCTATCATCCTGAAAATGTGCCACGTAAATCTCCAAGTTAACCTCTCTTTCGTGTGTAAGAGACAAGAGAGAAAATCTAGATTAGTCTGATATGGGCATAACAGAAAGCAAGTAGAATTAAGAAACCTTTGTTTCAGAGATGGACTCATTAAAAGAATTCAGGTGATTGAAGGACAAAGGGGAAGAAAAGATACTGCTAAAGAACATGCCCATAAAGATGAATACATTTCAGTGTTTTGAAAGGTTTGATAAATAATGCCACTTTTTATTTAACTGATAAGGTTTTGGTATTTCATTAAGTGCTATTTGATAAGTAAACCAAAGAATATTTGCATTTTAAGTCGTTTGAGTGTGGTTTTTTCCTGGGTAACTTCTGGTGTGCGAATGATTAAGTAGGCATTTGCTTATGTTATAAAAAGAGGTAAAAACTTGCTGACCGTTATATTGTCTAGGAAGTAACAGACCCATCCACAGCATTAAATATTTCATTGTCACTGTGTCTGTGATAAAGAGTACTCCCTGCCCTGAAGCTTACCTGCTTCCCAGAATACTGACATTAAAATATAGGTCACCAGAAAGATCACATGAATAAAAATTCCAGAAGTCAAGATTCTGCTTTAATCATCACAGCCTAGAGAGATGGTCAGTTTCTCAGATCCCCTCATCTGCTTGGCTGAGACAAGTGGTAAAGACAGAAAGTATCTCCATGTTTGACAGTAAGTCCTGACACTAAGGTTAGAGCTAAAATTAACATTTGCACATCCCGGAGTCAGTCAGTGATTGTCAGATTTTATAACGATAGCTTGATGGCTGCAGAAGTGGTCCCTTGAGCTTCACAACTTGCCAAATGGCACATGAATGCAGTTCAGCAGCCTTCGGCTGGCTCTCTTTTCCTCATAAGGAAGAGTTGAGAGTGTGGTCAGATGCAGACTTTGGATTTGGTCCATCCTCTCCACTGGCCTGTCAGGAGCGTGGGTGCCGAGGTGAATGAGTGGGCAGTTGATGAATGAATTTCTTGCTTGTCTTTATGTGCAGGGCCCAGCAAGGAGAGATTCAGGTCTGCCCGCACATTAGGGCAGTCAAGCCTGCTTAGGGTAGCAGGAGGAACCTTAATCTTTGGGAAGGCAGTGAGGAGCACAGTCACCCATCTGTGTCTGCAGGAATCAGGTCCAGATGGTCAGATAGCAAGATCTGTGGATCTCAGCTCCCTGTTTGAAATGGTATAGTATTTACAGAGAGCTCATCTCCTAGAGCAGTGACGATGAACCTTTTAAAGCTTTCAGTGGTGAACAGCCTGCTGTGGCATGTGCTGTCAGTTTGCACTGCTGTCCCGCTGTCTTTAAAGCATTGGCAGATTATGTACACTGTCTAACACATCATCTAAGTGCTACTGTGCTTCCCCAACAAAGCACCCTGCGGAAAAACAGTTGGCTTGGAAACCTGGAGATAAAGAGCGCCATCCCTAGTCAGCCTACCCTTGCCGTACTGTCTTGCAGAGTAGCCACTAAGCTAGAGAATAGCGATGGCAGTAGTTGCACTCTGTTTAGGAAATGATGACAAGAAGCAAGTTTCTATGTTTAGTACAGACACTTTGCGGGGGAAGGGGACTGGGCATCGGACCCAGGGCCTTATGTGTATAAGGCAGGCACTCCTGAATTCCTACCCAGTCAGCCCCACTTTAAAAAAAATTTTTTTTTTCAATTCATGGTTGATTGAATCCACTAATGCCAAATCCATGCGTGTGGAAGGCTGTTGACTGGAGGAAAGAATCTCGTTTGCTACCATTTCTCAGAATCTTCTGGAGAATGCCCATCCCCTCAGAAGGCTCATGCCTGGAAAGCACGCCTTTGAAGATTCAGTTACAAAGGTGGGATTCATTATTTTATGATCCAACCGGACTCTTTTTTTGCATGAATTAGTGTGATGGGATGGCTGAGTGGTAATGGGCAACTAGGAAGAATATGAATAGCTTACAGTAGTTAATTAGCCAAGTTAATAGTAGTTGGCGTTTTAGGAACACTTTAAAATGATGTCTTTAAATTTGAGAAAGCAAGAATTGTGTCAAAATGATTTTATTAGTTTTGTGCTGATGGTTTTTCTGCAAAAATTACCAGTTAAGTGAATGATAATGTTGACAATAAACATTTACAAATGGGTTATTATGTGCCATTCCCATTAATTCATTTAATCCCTGCCACAATCTCATTCTTATATAGATTATGAAACTAAAATAAGAGAAACTGAAAAATTTGCTTTAAGTCACACAGCTAATAAGTATCACAATCAGAATATCAATAGAACTTTATTTAAATATAGTATGGTTAAAGGTAATTCCAGTGACAGCCTTGGCTCAGAGAATAGTGATCATTATGATTCTCAAATGGCTTTTCAAATAACTAAATGATAGAATTGGGATCTCTACAGATCTGGTCTGTTCTCTAAACATCTGAGTCTGGTTTTAAACAGAAGTTTTCGACACTGCATCTTGTGACTCAGGGTTCTGTCTCATGAGGAGCTGGAGCTTGGGGTGTACCTCGTCAGGAAGACTATGACTCTACCCCTCTTGCTGGCAGGCGCGGTGTCCCCTGGCCCAGGGGCCCTGGTGGAGGCCCTGCAATGCCTGCCCAGTGGCCGTGTGGGTCCCTCGGAGCACAGGCACTGCAAAGCTGTGCATTGTCTTTCAGCTGTGAGGATGAAACCTTTGAAGAAGAAAGTCTTGTATTTTTCTGATTATTAGACCTTTCCACTCAAAGTTGGTTTAAAAGGAAAACATATTAGAAGCTTAAGTAATACAGAAATACTGCTTCTTTGTATAATGTCAGTAACACTTAGCTGGGAAATAAATTCTTTTTCTCCCATGATAGGAGTACATGTTTAAAAAATCAGTTAAAACTTTGATGAATTCCTGTCCACCCAAAACTTAGAATAAAACTTCTTGTAGTCTGTTTGTAGTCAGTTAGGTTTTTTTTACCAAGAGTTTTAGTTTGCCCTTGATATACTTGACAAATTCTATAACAGGTTATAATTTAGCACATCAGTCTTGAAAAATAATAAATGAAAGATGAATGTGTTTATCCCTACACTGGAAATATTGTAGTATAACATTAAGTGCTATTACGAAATTAAAATATTCTAATGAAATAGCACATTTACAGGAATTATAATATTTAAGATTTATGGCAATCTTGTGTTTCCACACTTACAGTAGTTAAGTGTATTTGCATTCCTGGGCAGGAGGCTTCTAATCTCAAAACTGATTTTAATACTCGGGCTGTTTATGACCAATAAAGCTTTATCCTAGCTTTGAAATAATTTTATTTCCTGTAATTCACATAAAGACTTTAGAAACCTCCAAAGACAACGCCAAAGCACTAAAATGAGTCAATTTTTCTTCCCCAGAACGACACAAGAAGAGCCACAAGTGTCTTTAATCACACCTCACTATGGCAAGAAGCACGGTGCTGCCCAACACTCGGGCCCTCGTTCAGGTGTCCGCACGAACTCTGTGGCCGGAGCCACGGAACATTTCATCTCAGGGAAACTCCCGACATGGAAACGTGTCTGCAGTATTGGTTCATCTCTGTCTCACTAAAGATGTATTTTCCACCTGACAATGAACGCTGACCCCAAGTCATAGGTGCAGGCCGCTCCAAAAATGTGGTCGCCTCAGCACTGGAAAAGGATGTGGAAAGTCAGCCAGCGTTCACAGTGAAGAGAAAAACATCTGTGCTTTGGAAAATACTCTTTAAGCGTAGGGAAAGCGGCATGTTCTGTGGCCACTGAGTCTCCACGAGGTCTTTCTGAGATGAAGCAGCTGGTGGTGAGGCCTGCAGATATTTTTCTTCCTGGGTGGCCAAGGAAGTTCTCTGCTTCCCCACTGCAGCTGGGTAACTAGCTTTGCCTCCTGGAAATAAACTGACCTACCAGGCACTTGGGATTTTTTCTTAAAACAAGGAAAGAATATTTGATTTTTAAAAGTATGTGTTTTGATTTGTAGAATGATCTAAGACAATGTGTTTTTCTGTACTTCATTTTTTCCATTTAAAAATTTAAAGATAGATTAAGTCATCTTTAAAACTTCCATCTGTGAAGTATAAACATAGGTGTGAAGTTAAAAAGAGCATAAATATCCCTATTATCACCATTATCTGGGATGATTGATGTTTTATAAGGAGCCAAACTTTCATTTTCCCAGAAATAGACTTTTATTATCCAAGCTACCACTTGCCAGGTTAAATGACTTGTCATCATCTTTTATTGTTCTTTTTTAAGGCCTTTTATTTTTTAAATATTTGCTAGACAAATTATAAAACTCTGGGAGACGAGTAACATCCTGAAAGAGGAGAGCATGATAATTAGATAAAAGCCCCAGCATGAGTGCTGCTCCCGCGGTCAGTCTGTGTTTGAGGAATGGTGTTTCTGGCTTGCAGTGTTCACAGCCATGCGCACGGTGAGTCCTTGGGTTTCCAGTACCTGTGTCAGAGGTTTGGCGTCTCCTGCTCCTGGGGGCTCGTTGGAGGGTGACCAGGGGAATCCCGCTGGAGTTTGCAGCTCCTTGCAGGGCAGGGAGCGCTCTCTCCCTCTCTAAAATTTCCCTAAAGTCAGCTACTCCCTACTTTGATTATAAGAGCAGAATTCTGAATTCTTTTCACTGTTTCCAAGGAAGCCATGAAAATAAGCCTGAGCCTAAAAGACCATGTGCAACGAACTTCAGCAGATGGAATTTTAGTAAATCCCAGTCCCCTTAAAATACTGGCTTTGGCTTTCAATTTAAGAAAATTGCTTTGGGTTGAGTTGTTGAAAGTAATGCTTTCCGACACTTACTTATATATAATCTCTTACATTATTGTAGCCTCCCTGCTGACTTTAGTAGTCCATTGCAGCAAAACAAGCCACCCCGAAATTCAGTGATTAAAAACAGTAACCACTTGGCTGTCTCTCATGATCCCAGGGGGTGAATAGGCTCAACCGGGCAGTTCCATCTTCTGATAGTGGGGACTGAAGCCAGAACCGCAGGCAGGTAGGCACAGAGCCCTGTCGGTAAGCTGCACCCACAGCCCCTAACTTTTAAGTGGCCCTCACAAATGAACGTGTTAGTAAGGTTCATGTTTTATCAGTACGTGTCAGTACGTTCCTTGTGGGGAGCTGGTTCATGTACAGGACATCTTAATTCTTTTTTTCTTCTATTCCCTCTCCTCCTCCCTCTCCCTTCATGGCTTGATCTCATTCCTACTTGAGAAATGCGTCTCCCTACTTCTCATTATCTTTTATTTACTCTGTGTACTTTCAGTTTTTCATATAGGAGGAGCCATGTAATGTTTAAGCTTGTGTGTCTGTGTT